TGAGAATTGAAGGTGGGTTAACTATCCCAGAAGAACTCCACGTAGGGGATTTAAAAAAATAATTGGAGTAAGAAATGCTCACACCAAAAGCTGTTCCATAGAAATGTGGTGGTGTTGGTTTTTTTTTAATTGGCTATAATGGAATTGCTCCATTTGTAGACACCCTTTAGGTCAGAGGCGGGCAGCTATTTCAGGCGGAGCAGAGGTCCGCTTACTAAGTTTTGGCAAGTTGTTGAGAGTTGCATGGGGTTTGCATGGGGTAACCCCGCCCCTTGACAGTGCCCCACCCCTTGGTTGCCATCTTGGGACCAGAAGTCCCACCCCCTAACCTTTGCCACCAGAAGTCCCTCCCCTTACCCCTAGAAATACTCCTTTCAGCCAGGAGTTTTGCCATCTCGGAACCAGAAAATCACCAAATTATATTCTAAAAATGAAGCATCTACAACATGCGTTTTTTAATCGGATTAGTTAAATTTGTCCTCTGCATGTAAACTACACAAACACAGAGGGGATTGCACAATAGCTTAAAATGAAGTCTGGCTCTTGTACGTTGGGGGGGCTGTGGGTGTATGGGGGGTAGATAGGTGTGGGTGTGGGGTGAGGGAACACTTGGGTGTGCGTGTGGTTATGTGGGGTGTGGGTGACTGGGTTTTGTGGAGGAAGTAGCTGTGTGTGTGAGGGGGTGTGAAGATGGGGGCAGTGCAAGGTGGGTGTATGTGTATGGTGGGGTGTGCTTTTGGGACTCACCCTATGAACACATATACACTCTGTGCTTCTCTCACTGCATGCACAGCCACCCCACTCTTCCGCTCCTGGCCCTGAGGTACCAGTGTGGCCCCATGCAGCCTGGGGCCATGTGATGGTGGAGCAGGTGTGCAGAGAAGCAGTGAAGGCCAGGGTGTGGGGCCAGCCTGGCTTTGCTGCTGAGTCCTGCTGGCTTTCCCTGGGTCCTACTGCCCCTGGCTCCTGTCATCTTTTGTAAATATTATCTTGGATAATATTTATCAAAGCTAGGAGCAGATAAATATTTTTCTATGCTTTTTAGGCGTCCCGCAGGCCGGATAGAATGGCCTGACGGGCTGGATCTGGCCCGCAGGCCGTATTTTGCTGGCTCCTGCTTTAGATGGAGAATGCCTTATCTGACTGGGCAGGTGTAGGGTGGTAATGCGTGGGTGGCTGGCTCCTTTAAAAGAAACTTTAGGCATCTGTGTCTAGTTAGTTATCTAAGACCATTTTGTTTTTGTTTCCTTCTGTAATAATGTGTTCTAAAACCACTGGAGAAGAAAAGGAGGAAATTGATAGGCTGCATTGCTGCTCTTTGATTTGCTAAGCTGGCTGATCCACTCCGTTCCCTGCGACATTCCAGCTCTCTTGGTGATTCAGAACGTTACTCACTATTTAGTTAACCAGTACTAGACGCACCGGTGTTGTGTGTCGCTTTGTTGAGATGGAGGCCTTTGAAATGAATGAAATCTCTCTATAGGTAAATTATACAAAGAAACTTCACCCTTGCTGATTTCATATTGCGTCTCTAATACAGGTTTTGGTTTACGTAATTTGTCATAGTCAGTCCTGGCGTGAATAAGCAAACCAGTGCATTTCAATTAATGGTTATACTTTAAAAGATAGCACTGGAGATATGGAACAGTGCAGTGACGTTTGTGTTCCAGTGACTATTGGATTGGTTTTGCCCAGTTTACAAATTACAGATGTCTTCTATAATAGTGGCTTTCAGCCTGTGGTCTGCAGACCCCTGAGGGGATCACAGACTCCATGCAAGGATGAAAAGATGACTGATCAATCAGATGTATTTGAATATTCACACTTATAGTTCAAAGGGGTTTGCACCTCCATTCGACACTTTTTAGGGGTCTGCAAATGAAAAAAAGGTTGAAAACCACTTTTCTGTACCTAAGCTGCGGGCTGACAGAATAATTCTCCCCACCTTCCACCAGTTCACCAGTCATTAAAAATATTCTTTGATGAGCTTGCAGGTTAATACTGTGTTTTTATAGAAGTAATGGGATTGAGGGCTCCTTTGAGAAATCTGATTTCTTTGTGCGGCTCTAATTGGAATAAGAACTAAGGCATCTTCTCATTAGTAAAATGAAGACAGTAGGTATCTGAATACACAAGGACAGTGAAATGAAGCTGGCTTATACACAGTAGGAACTTGCTATCCTGCCCAAAAGGCCTTTTTCCTACCTCTCAGGAAAGACTTGGGAGCAGAAGCTATAAAGTAGTCTCTTGTCAGCTTGCAAAATGTTGAACTGTGCAATGTCACAATTTGGTATGCTGCACTTGTGCATATAAATGGACAAAACTGTCTTTTGTGATGCATGACTTGTATGCATTATAGGTTAGCTGGATCAGTGGCAAATGGGGTTTCCTGCCATTACTGGGTTCTCCCCTTGTCATTGCTGTGATTGTAACTGTACTCTTAACTTAAAATACCCTCAAGAATATTGGTTCAGTCCACAGCGAATGTGTGTTTATCTCAGTGTTGTTAGAGACCACTGAAGCTTGTCTCCTGTATAGCAAAAGAGAGTATATGTATGTTGGGCTTGGGTTTTGCTTGTACCAGCTAAAATGTGCATGGGAACAATCTCGGTTGTGGTAATCTGGGGCACCCTGGTGACTTGGATTTAACTAATAAGATGCTATACATTAATTATCTGAATCATTAACTGACTTTTCTCTCTGCTTACCTCTCTGAATTAATCTTTAGGACTAGGGACAGAAGTTGTATATAAACTGGTTTTAAGAGATTGGAAACTGCTTTCTATCTGTAACAGAACAGAAGCTTAGTACACATAAACTGCTTTCAAAATGGCCCAAACTAGTTTAAGATAAACCTGGTTGGATGTGGTATCAGACTTAACTGATTCCAGTCAAAGTGGTTTATGGGACTTCTATCCCAGATCTGTTTCTGGTTCAAGTTAACTCACAGTCCTCCAGCATCTCAGGGTGCTTTGCAGCCCTGGGCTGTACTGTCTGCTCCAGTGGAGCAGGGACTGCCTCACCCCTCTGCTCTTTTCTTGCCTGTGTCTATCAGCCCATAGGGATGGAGCGGGGTGGGGGTAGAGGAACAGACCCCTCTAGCCAGCATCTCCACAGCGTGTGGGGGAGGGAAAGCCCCTGTGGTGGTGGCTCTTGGATCCTTGCAGCCTCCCCCATCCTCTGTCCCCCTTCCCAGCTGCTGATTGCTTCAGCCACTGCCACAGGAGGGAGGGTGAAGAAGTGCTTTGGGCTGGATGCCTGCCCATCCAGCCCAGCATGGGGGCACCATGGAGACTTTGCCTTGGTGGGGGCTACCCTCCACCCCAGCCGGGGCAGCCCCAGGGAGCTGAGGGGAATTCTTCTCCTCCTAGACCCCAGGGCTGCTTGCCTGAGCTGCTGCAAGTCTCGGGGATAGCTCGAAGCAGCCTTAGGAAGCAGAGGGAAATTCTTCTGCTCCTCTTCAGCCAGTTGTGTCTGAGCTGCAGCGAGTCTGAAGCAATACTCTTTGCAGGGGAGTGGAAGAATTTCCCTCCCATTCCCTGGGGCTGCTCCAAGCTATCCCTGAGACTTGCAGCAGCTCAGGCAAGCAGCCGTGGTGTTCGGGAGGGGAAGAATTCCCCTTGGGCTGCCCCGGGCTGGGAGACCCTGGGCTGGGGTGGGTGAGATGGGGGCTCACCGGTGCCCCCATGCTTGGAGGGCGACTTCTCCCTTCCTCCTGGGGCAGCGCCTGAAGCAGTCGGGAGCTGGGAAGGGGGAGAGGGGGAGCTCCCCAGGGCTGGGGGAAGCCTCCCAAGGGGGAGGCTCCTCCAAGGTGGGCTAGCACCCAGACAGGGGGCTCCTCAACCTGCTGTGGGGGGACAGCAGGAGTTTGGGTGCATGTGCTGGGCCATGGCCATCAGGCTGGAAGTCCTGCTCTGGCACCCCACACCTAATGGCCTGGGTCAGTGCAGGCCCCCCCCCCCCCCCC